TGTTACAAACTCACTCATTCCAACTGTCACCAATTTTTCACTATTTGTCCTCTCCCTAACTGCTCTATCCTCGGTCATCACTGCTCTCACCTTTCAGGTCTCTGTTCTCCTGAATGAGGATGTTCATCTGCTGCAGGGTTTCCTCCAGTGTGCCGGGCTGATTGGCAGAGCGAGAGATGTCGCCGTTCATCATGGGGCCTCCAGACGCCATGATGCTGAGAGGAAGGACGTTTTGTCATGTTTTGTGTATTATTTGTATATTAAACAATCGGAAACACTGGCAACAAATAAGTCATCAAGAGAAGGTTGAGAACAAAGCCAAACAGTTACAGTCATGTGAAAAAGAAAGCACAGTCACTATACACATTGCTTTGGAGGGTGGTTGCTTGCTGACATTCCTGGCTCTGGTTGCCTGGGTGGCATAAACTACCAGGTCATACGTCAATAAATATTATTCTTTACCCTCACTGGTAGTCGCTTTGCTCACTTGGAACATGAGAAAGGTTTACTCCGGGGTGCACGTACTTCCCTTATCCAGCAGTTACTAGCTGGTATATTGTCTTTGGATAGACAAGACCAAAGTGAAGATGTCTGGCCATAATGTACAACACTAAATTTGGTGTGACCGAAACACCAGCATATCAGCACACACACCTAAAAGCAACTATCAAGCACGGTGGTGGATGTGTGATGATTTGGGTTCTCTCTATATGCCAAAATATTGTAGAGTCAAATGTGAGGTCGTCTGTCTGACAGCTAAAGCGTGGCTAAAACTGTGGTCATGAAACAGGACAATGATCCCAAGCACAGAAGCACATCTACAACAGAATGACTTCAAAAGTAAAGAATCAGTTATACTGATAATAATATATACAGTTATACTCAAAGTTCAGACCTTAACCTTGTTGAAATGGTGCAGAGGTTCTTTCAGAGAGATGCGTATGAATAAATACCTGCAAATGTCAAAGAACTGCAGCAACATTGTAAAGATGACTGGGCCAAAATTCTTCTGCAACAAAGTGATTCTTCACAAACTGTTTTGGTATTTTGATTTAATTTTAAAATTCTAAACACAGTGTAATACATCACACACTGTTTTTCATGAGGCTGTATTTAAATCATTTTAGAACCTGATGAGGACCTGATGATTTTCTTTGTTATGTTCTGATATAATGTTTAGATGTATAAAATTAAAAAGGGTGCACTTTTTTAAAATAACATGACTGTATGGTAAGTGTTGGTGTTTGCTGTTCCCACTAGGGGGCACTGAAGCTCACACTTCCAGTTCTACATATAGTGGCTTTAATGCTGCATTCCTCACGTGGAACATTTATCAGATAATATAAAATCAAAATGATCCCATGTTATATATTACGCACTATAAGTTAATTTAAAAATAATTAATACATTCGGCATTTATGGTTTCAAATAATCACAATCACAAGAAGAAATTGACTTAAATACTAACGTTGATCTTTTTTTTTTCTTTTTTTCTTTTTGTAAATTTAACAGCTAATTTTAATGTTTACCAAAAAAAATAAATAATGCAGCATTTTTAACTGCAATACGTTTGTGTTTGATCTCATTTGGCTTGCTGTTGCCAGTAAGACATGTTTAAAAAAATGTCTGCTGACATCACTAAGTGACTCAGTGCTTCGGGAGCCGAGAAGGAGCATGCCGAGGGGAATTAGCCCATCAAGAGTCACATGATATGGCAATTTGATTTCAATAACAGAGACACTGTGTTGTCCTTTCGCCCTAACGCTATGGTATACTACATGATGGTCTAAATAAGATGTAATATCACATTTAGAAGCTCTTAACTGGGGATATCACCGTTGATCGCCAATTTACAAGTACGAGTCGGAAATCTCACATGCTAGTTCAAAATAATCGTGTAATACTAGCTTGGAGGACACTAAGTTCGGCCAAAAATAGTTCTATTTGTTTTGGCTTTCTTTCAGTATTGTTTTACTTTCACTTTCTTGGAATAGGCCTATCCTAAGTGCGACTTTTGGTAAACAATAAAAAGTTACCAGTAACTTAAAACGAACACGGACGAGCTTTAACCTCAACCAAACTGCGTCACACCAAACGTCAACCGAGTTTAAAGGTTTTAACTCACCTGCTGGCAACTCGAGAACTAAACACAGCCTGCCTGTTCGCGCTGACAATACATAGGGAGTATCGCAAAGGTGGCTGTGTATGTCGAGTGATATTGCTCTTCTAGTTAGCAGGGGCGTTGAGTGACGATACAGAAAAAACGATCTTTGCTTCCGGTTGTTCCTTTCAAAGTAAACTCATTAGCTGGCGCAGTACTGATAAACAATGCATTTTTGTGTTTGTTGATTTATATCGAATAAATTAGCTTTCTGCGTTTTGCGTTATCAGTGATAATCGCGTAAGAGCCCATTATTATTATTATTATTATTATTATTATTATTATTATTACGTTTTGTTGAATTACTATGCTTGCTGTTTAGTTTATTTTGTTTTTAGGTAATTTTAACTAATTTATTGGTTATTTTTATGGATTAAAAAAAAACAAAACTAGAATCTATGATTATCTCAGTAAATTGGTACCAGCATGCATATATGCCTAGTTCTCGGTTTGCTTTCTTGCAAAAATAAATAATTGAAAGGCCAAGATTTTGACTGGAAATTGATTTCATTTGTGTGCATATGCACCTAGATCACATCAGTGACTCTTTTGATCAAAAGCTTTGTTTTGATTTGTGACAAATAACACCTATAGAGCAATTATAGTGACAGTGTAGTTATCAGTTTAAAATATTATAAAAATAACATTTTCCACTAATGGGGATTTCAAACAGTAAAGACTTAATTCAACGATTCATCTGAAGTTTATTTTAATAAGCAGTAGATGAATCCCCTAAACTGCAAGCCAAAATCAAAGACACAAACAAAACAAACAAATCCGCAATTGCTACCAGCACTGCAACATCTGCTGAAATTGAAATTCCTCCACCTAAAAATAAATAATGTCTTTATAAAATTAAATTCATCATCAGAGGAAAACCATTATCTTGCGCTGGAATTAAATAAGGCTTAAGTACACTATATTCATTAAACTGTATTGTGTGTAGCTATTTTCACTTCTATTTATCATATTAAAACACTACAGTGATTATTTGTTCTTTCTGAAGTCCTTAGCTTTTGATATTTGTTTTTAGGGCAATCTTAATTCATTCTTCAAGAACGCTTTGCTTTTATTTTGAAAGCCACAGTTCCTATCTAAGTCGGTCTAATTTTCGACAACTCGACACCGAGTTCACTTGTGCGGAGTTTACGGACGGTTTTCGTTTCCTTGTAGTGACGTCACGGGGCAGAGGGCTGATCTGAGAACAAAGAGCGCCTGCGCGTAAGCAGCGCCGCCGCGGCACGGGTCCATCCGCATTTTTTACACATCGGCAAGAGGCTGACATGTGTGGGGGCGGGGCTAGACCATCAGCTGTTAGCGGGAATTCCCCCTCAGGAGTCACCTTACACTTGCAAACAGGAAAGGAAGGACTGGAGATTCCCTCTGATGTCAGCTTTGAATGATAAATGGCGACGACAGTGTAACGGATATCTGTCAATACTGTCGCATAGAACACTCAGAGGCTACTGTAGTAAAATACAATGGAATGTCCGAGAAACACAATTTCTGCTCTTGTTACGTACGTTTATATATACAGTTATACTTACTTTCCACTAGATGGCAGTCTTATTCAAGAGCAATCTACTGATGTTCATGTTCAGGTTAGTTTAAAGCAGGGGTAGGAAACTCCAGGCCTCGAGTGCCGGTGTCCTGCAGGTTTTAGATGTGTCCTTGATCCAACACAGCTGATTCAAATGGCTAAATTACCTCCTCAACATGTCTTGAAGTTCTCCAGAGGCCTGGGAATGAACTAATGATTTGATTCAGGTGTGTTGACACAGGGTGACGTCTAAAACCTGCACTTGAGGCCTGGAGTTGCCTACCGCTGGTTTAAAGCAATCAGAGATGGTCACGGTACTTACTGGAGGTTGAGCCTAGAACTGTATGGAAGACTGTTAAAGTGGTTATAGTTGAGGAACTGAAAGTGATTATTAATCTTTACTATGATCTTATGTGGGCTATTCTTAATAAAATATTTTAGGTATTGTGAAATGTAATCACATTATAGAGTCCTGGTGCATCTTTAGAGTCCCTTATCTCAGGTAAAAAAAAGAAAAAAGAGAGCGAGAGAGAGAGAGAACCCCTGGAGGATTTTCACCACAGAAATATTGTCTCCCACGGGATTTCCCTTAAGTGCTTCAAAACTCCCAGTGATCCTTGTCCAGGAGCCACTGGACCCCACTGACCCACAATAGGTAGCCAAAATCAAAGATTTGTACTAAAGGTCTATCAGAAAGAATGTTGGGACTCACACAACACGACACACTAAGTTCCCAGAATTGCGCTTGACTAACCTAAAAGACCCACTGTATCCCCAGTGTGTTGTAAAACAAATTCGAGGCACCCTGGAACCCAGTGGAAACTTCAGCAGCACCCCCCTTTGGACCCATTCAAATTCCTCTCAGATGCTTTGATTTATCTCCCATGAAACTTCCTCCACCCAAACCCTGGCTCCTGTGATACCATCTCCCACCACAGTGATTGTCCCTTTATAATCACATTTAACGCCTTCACGTGCCGAACAGAAGAAGTCGATTTCTCAAGGAAGTATTCGTTTCATAAAGCGACGCGTTTTGTGAAGAACCTGGAGTATATTTGAATTAATACTCTTTTTGATCGAAAGAGTTGTATACATCATGTGGGTTATAATATTATGTCTGAGGTCAACAGGTTCAAAACCTCAGGTTCATCACCTTTTCATCAGGCAAAATACCACTTCAACGCATCGACCACCCCTCATTGAAACTCTAAATATCAAAGCAGCGCACGAGTCCTTGAAGGCATCACCATCGCTCTGTTTAAACCTCGCCTCCTCCAAGCAGGAGAACGGACAGAGCTGCAGGTTGGAGCGGTTAGTCTTTGCACATTCATATTAATCCGATTTTATTCTTTCCAAAAGTCTTCAGACGATTGAAGTTAGCTTGAGTTTGTGTTAATGTTCAAAAACTCTGTCTGAAAAATTATTTTCATTGTGATTTAGCATCATCAAGTGGTTGAGGTAAACACATGTGCATAACTTTTGCAAAATCAACCAGATTTGTTTACTTTCGGCCACTTGGCTGGGTCTCCTGGAAAAAAGAAAGACTCATCGACGCAGACTTTAGGAGGTGCCAGATAAGATTTTGTAGGCTTTTCGGGATGTTTCCCACGACTATCCTCCTCGCAACGCTCTGCGTTTTTGCGCATCTGGACACCTTTACGCGTGGCTGCCAGCTCCCCTCGGAATGGCGGCCGCTGAGCGAGGGCTGCCGGGCGGAACTTGCGGAGATCATCTTGTATGCCCGGGTCCTGGCAATCCACCGGGAGCCGGTGGGCGTTGGAGTGGGCAGTCTGTACAACTCTTTGCCCTTTGGGTTCGGATACGGGTACGAGGGCGCAGAGGAAGGGCTGCTGTACTCTGCAGAGGTGGAGCTGCTGTGTGACCAAGCCTGGGGCAGCATGCTGGAGGTACCCTCTGGATCCAGGCTCAACCTGACCGGGCTTGGTTACCTGTCCTGTCAGTCCCACACCGTGATGGAGAACTACTCCTATTTCTTTTTCCTCAGGTGAGGTAGAAAAAAACGGTCACTTTTTATTTCAGAAAATTAATGTGGTTCTTTTTTTTTTTTTTTTTTTTGCAAAAAAATGAAACCAAACCAAACCAAAAAATAACCCATAATTAAATACTATTTCAGCTTTACCTGAATTTATCAAATCTATTATTGTTGCCACATAAATGAAAGAGCACCTTTAAATTAACACTGTTTGTATGTAAATAATCAAAGTGGTAAAACAAATGAGTAAATACCACTTTGCAGGACTGCCACTTTTGGCTTTGGCCTTCACCAAGACTTTTTATTACTGTACACCTGTCAGCTATAAATTGGAGTTATTAGCAAATGATCAGTTTATCAGCCAAACAGATTATGACCTCATGATGTATTTCTGTTCTCTATTCTGGCTGTTAAAGCAGACCTACTAGTTATTTTCTTATAGTATACAATACATTGGTGGATGTTCATATTGAAAATGGCCAAAGTTTAAAATAACAAGATCAGTAGATTTGCAAATAATTCCTCAGAACCAAATAGTCATGGTTCAGAATGCTATTTCTAATAAATTTCTAACATAAGTACTCATTATTTTAATTTGTGAATCATGCAAAGCTTCTCCGGTACAATCCAAGAACAAAAATATACTGGAAAGGAGCAGAGTGCATTCTTTTTAAATGCAGATTCAAATGTGCTGCTTACAGTTGTTGCCTTCATCTCCTCTGTAGGATGGATGAGAACTACAGCATCCGACCTCATGGGGTCAACTTCCAAGATGCCATCTTTGCTGACACGATTGAGAACAGACGCACGTTTTCCAGTCTGTTTCAGTTCTCCAACTGCACTCAGGGGAGCCAACCATTTCAGACTTTCAGCCCCGAGTGGGACACGCAGGAAGACAGCAGGGTAAGGCATCACTTAGTCATAGTTAGCCTGTTAAAGTGTTGTACATGAAGAAGAGAAACCAATTGTCTATGATTAAACTGACCATTGCAATCTATAATAAAACGCTTCATTATCTTCTTAGAAATGTTGGTGGGGTTTTGCTGACACTGCAAACAAACACAAAACTATCTTGTTGTCACGGAGATAACAAATAGTCCATGGGATCATCAGGGAGCAAATGTGTTTTATTAAATTTGTATTTTTATTGCCTTTTATATATCCCTAACCCCCCCTCCCCCCCCCAAAACAAAACAAAACATAGAATTTAAAACATTAAAAAAAAAAAAACAAACCCCCAAACACACACATTACCAATGAATATGAGTCACAGTGAAATAAGTGTTTGATCCCCAGCAACCCAGCTAGACATCTGACTCCCATGGGTGGGATTTCAAACAACCAATTAATGACGTAGATCTCAGCTTGTTATTTGTATAAAGTACACCTGTCCAAAGAATCACTTTCTTCCATTCCAACCTCTCCACCACTGTGAGCAAGAGCAAAGAGCTGTGAGAAGATGTCATTGAAACCAAACTCAAGCTGTCTTGCTTGGCCTGCCATGTTTGTAGAAAAAATGCTGAATATCACCCAAAAAACACCATCCCCACAGTCATGCATGGAAGTGGAAATCATGCATTGGTGCTGTTTTTCTGCTAACGGTACATGATGGCTTAACATATATTAAGGGAAAATGGACAGGATCTTACAATCTTGGATGAGAAATCTCCTTCGCTCAGACAGAACACTGAAAATGGGTCATGGATGGGTCTTCAGGCATTACAATGACCCGAAACATACTGACAAAGCTACAAAGGAGTGGCTAAGCTGGCTAGGCCACTTCAAGACCTTAATGTGCATCTTCGCACACTAAGGTCATGAAGTAGCCTAGCCAGTCTCCAGACCTCAGGCCTCTAGAAAATCTGCCAAGAAATCTAAAGGGTTTGAGAGTTTCTGTAAAGAGGAGTGGTCCAAGATTCCTCCTGAGATGTGTGCAAACCTGACCTGACCAACTACAGGAAACATCTTACTGCTGTGCTTGCCAGCAAGGGCTTCTCCACCAAGTAGTAAGTCATGGTTATCTAAGGATCAAATACTTATTTAACTCACTGACATGTAACTCAAATTTTGCAACTTTTATGTCGTGTGTTTTTGTTTGATATTTTGAAAGCTTGTTTTGAACATAGCTAAAGGTTTGAAAATTATGTCACTGTATAAATAGTAGCTAATTCCCAAAATCACAGGCCTCAGATGGCTCTAAGGGCTCCATTCCCAACAGTTTTTTTTTCTAGACTTGGCTATGCATGATGTCATTGAGAGTACATGTAGTCAACTTTGATTGGACGCAAACACAGGAGCACCACTCACACAATTCTTCTATTTACAAGGGGCAGCCAATCAGAAGCAAGTTTGCTTAAAGAGCAGTTGACCTTAAAATGAAAGGAGCTATTAAAAAAAGAGCTTCTTAGAAGAATGAGGCTAGTCAGTCCCCTGTTTCAAAAAGGCCAACTTTTTGTGGGGGTTTGCAGAAAATGTAAATAAACTCAAAACCATGTTGTTACCATGGTGATAACAGATTAAGGGTCCAGACAAACAACAGCGTGCAGGGAACTGGAACTGGAAGTGGAGCAACTAACAATATTAGGGTGTTGTAGTTTCGGTAATGTTTGAGTCAGAAACTGGCAATGAATCAACTGCTGTAGCTGAACTATGTGTACGAGCAGAGGGAGGTCTTGGTTTGTGTGTGGACATCTAATAATGAGCTGAGTTGTGAGTCCGTTGACAGGAATGTGGGAAAGAAAGATCAGTCAAACTACCCTCTGGCACTGTGCAGAGCTGAACACATAAATACCCACACATAATGGATTGATTCTCAGAAGGATAACAAAAATGCCCACATGCGCCAACACAAAAGAATCAATTGTACTGTTAATAAAGTTTTAATATGTGATTGGCCCGACGTAATCACGTCCCAACCTGTTGTAGATCAAAGCAAACTGATGAGTCGAGGTCCTTCCAGGTTGCACCTCAGGCATATCGGATACTGTCCGTGCACCCCGGGGTCAAAGATCAAATAGCAGAGATCCACGACTTTGACACCACCAGCTTGAAAGCGTGTCAGTCTGCAGCTTTGATCTGTATCAGCATGAAGCAACATATCACGCTGACCTCGGACCAGAGATAGGCTGAAGCTTGTGATGGGAGCTTTGCTGCTGGGATTCAGACATTCATTATCACATCTGCTCTGACTGATCCAAGCTCGCACCTCAAACAAGACAGGACACGGCAGCTGGAGACAAATTTACGACACGTCTTTGCTTTTATTTTGAAAAGGTACAGCTGAGTGGTTGCTGAATAGTTTTTGTGACACACCAAAGAAGAGGCCCTCACTTTGGTGTTTTAATGATGATGAAGAGCACAGCAAACCTGGTGCCCTGTGGATGAAGGCAACATCACACCCTGGAAGAAAAAACATCCTTCAGGATGCTTCATGAAGGGATAAAGATGATCAATTAAAACACAATTTAAGGTGACACTTCACTCTTTGGCGAAGGTGACACTGATATGCACTTGATGTGCTGATTCGTTTCAAGTCTTCCTTCATATCATAACTGATTTTTTTTTCTCTCTCAGTGTTTTGGGTGTGGGTTTTGTTTTCCTTGCATGATTCGGAAATAATGGAGACGAAAATAAGCACAATAGATCCCCTTTAAAGTCAGTGCGATTTACAGACAGTGTCTCTATTAGAATCATTTAATACATCCAGTGGACCGTGGAGCATTACGTGGATCTTTTTCATACACTTGTATCCATTTATTGCACTCGTTATCATCATCTTAACACTCTGAAGGATGTTGTGCCTCGTTCCTGGCTGACTTTTTCTCTACTGCCTGCAGCATTCACAGCTGATTTACCTCTTCAGCTTTAAATAATCTCACAGCTAATTTAGCCACAGCATTATTTAAGAGCAAGAATTTAACTGTTAAAGGGCTGCAAAGTGTGGTTTTGTAGTGCCTTCTGTTTCTGTTTCTGTTCTGGTTTCAACTACAGGATCTAGCCTCTGAATTAAGGGGTCATAGTTCAGGCAAAAAGGGGTTAAAGGTGCTGTTATTGTAGAGGATTCATGTGCTCCTCTACAATAACCTTTAGGCAAGGCAGGACAAAACAGGTGTTTTGTTCGGGAATGTATATGGAGACGTAAAAAATGGGGAAAGAAATCTCTCTTCTTTCTCTTTTTATCCTTCTTTAATCTAACAGCCAAGAACCAAGCCTATTAATACTTTTATTATCTAAAGTTAGCTTCCCTTCTTGCATCACTCTCTGTGCTTTCATCCTTCAGCTGCATTTAAAGACAAAAAAAAAATCCCTAAAATCAGAGCTGGGAGGAGGTTTGCTTCTGATTTCAGCTTTGTGGGAACCAGATGCCCCGCCAGAAGGATAGACAGGAGACTTCCTTCACTGCACTTTTCCTGCCAAAACCTTCAATTAGCTTTTGTTCAAAGGCTCATCTTATCAGTAGTGCTCAGAGCCGCTTTTACCACAAGCCAGGTCAGACACTCCTGTGGGTCTAATACAGATATAATACATACATATCATATGAGTTCTTTGATTCTTTGACAGGTCACAAGAAGGCAGGCGGATGGCTCGAACACTTCCTAATCACTTCCATATACAGCACATTTTTATTGTGTATGCATACAGAACTGGTTGATTGTACCCACGGTAAGGGAAGGCAGAATTTTGAACCCTCATGCAAACCCCTTTAACAAGTTTCCTGACTCTCATTAACATTTTATGTACGTGCTTACAGAGGGGTAAAAGGGAGTGCCTGTTTCACTCAAGAGTTAGACAGTAAAGCTCATAAATAATACATTATCAGACTGTGTTTTACAGAAATAAAGGAGAAAAGTGCAGAAGCAGAGGAAAAATGCCACTCTATGGAGCACCTCTTCACCACCTTTATTTCTTTTCTGCTCTCCGTCTCTTCTTTGTTCCTTTTGTCTCTTCGTCACTTTTTCTTTCCATTTTCTAGCCTTCCCTTCCCACGCACGCACAGACAATATAAAATCTGCACAAGGAGAGGAGAAACCCTGGCTTGGCTCTTTAACGCCAGCAGTGGAGCTCTAAAGCCACTAACTGTGTGTAAAGGTGTCTGGCCATGTGTGTTGTCTGTGTAATTGTGTGGACTCCTGCTGAGATTCTACATAAAGTTAGGGAGAGAAATCAAAAAGTCTGCAGAAATGAATGAGGAGTCAGGTCAAGCTGGGCGCAAACAAAAACACCTCTAAATTCTTTCAAACATGATTACAGTCTTTGGGTTTTTTTGTGTTTTCTTTTCCACTTCTGCTTCTTTTTCTTCCATATTTGACATTGTGTCTTTTTCTTTTACTCAAACAAATGAGTAAAAAAAGTAAGTAAGTAAAAGCAAGTTTAGCATTGATAAAACTGGACTGGATGGCCTGTGGTGTCACAGTGCAAAGTATTGCAGTGACATTAAACTTGCTGTCATGAGGTTTGCATGGCTGATTTAATTTCTCTGACCTTCCTACATTTGCAGCAGTTAGGAGTTATAAACCCCCAAAACCTACAGCTATACATGTTAAACACAGGACAAAGTCTCAGCACCACATTTTTTTCAAATTCTTTATCCAGAGTTACCAAACACCTTCACCTGCTTCACTGTTGCAAATATGTTACAGACAGAATGTTCAGCAAACGCAACTTCACAAAAAACAAAACAAAACAAAACAAAAAAATCATTATTGCGATGAAGACAGAGTCACTGACAGGTCAGATTTGCAAGACTTTTCAGTGATGACTGTGATCAGAGTAAGAACTACTTTGTTGCTTTCAGCTATTTGCAGAAGTCTTTCTTCAGAGTTTATTGCATACCTTAAGCATCAGACAGAAGCAGGGTAAGTCCATTAGTGTTTTGCAGCCCGGCAGCACTAATTACTCATGACAAAAGATCTCTAACACCGAGACGGGATCGATCAGAATCTAATGACAAACACCAGTGTGTCCTTCAGTCAAGTTAGCTCTCACACAGATTTAAAAATCTTCTGATCCGTTCATTCAAGTTTACAAAAGCTTGCATGGATGCTTTCTAATAACTACACATAAGATAATTATAAACCGAACTACCAAAATATATCCACCATGTTAAGAAATCTCTGACTTCATGTTATTTCCAGTCAGGCAATGTTTCATTATGACATCACTGTTAAGATGTGGTACCTGCACTGATGAGCCACAATGTCAGACTGAATCAGGACAGACTGAAAGGTTTCAAGGACCTGAAGGGTCACATGTGACCCGACCTGAAGGAAACTGCAACATAGGGCGATCAGTCATTGTAGTCATTTTAGACCACAGTTGCTGTAAATGTTAATTGTAAAATAAATAGAGTTTTGAACAAACTAAGACGACATCCCCATAGTTTCTTGCCTCCCTTTACTGACTTTTGGATACTGAAGAACCTTTTTTCTGTGTTCTGTCTTTCTTCACTGTGGACCTTTGTGCATTCAGTTGTCGTCACATGTCCTCTAAATACTGTTTATACAGATGATGCTAAACAGCAGGCAGGTGTGACCCGGATGTTTTGACAGTTGGTGTGCGTTTGTGTGTCCGTGTGTGTGCTTAATGCATCCCACTGTGAAATTTCCTAAGAGAACTGAAAAGGCAAGGCTTCAAACTGTTAAAAAAAAAAAAGAATATGAATTTGACTTCAGTCTTAGTGAATAGGAACAAATGCATGAAATATTTTCTCACCCTAGTGGATTGTATCCATGCAGAGAGATTTGGTTTTATTCACATGGGTTTCTACCTTTACGCTGATAAAAAGGTAAATTAATTTTATTGCTTGTACTACACACTAGATCATGTTATCTTGTAGTCTGTGCATACAGTGCAGTATCACCATATGGCCGGGTAACATTGTCCTCGTGAGATTATCTTCATCAGTCTCAGTATGAACTATTTAAACTTTAAAAGGAAGTTTAATGTAAAGGGTTTTTTGTTTTTTGTTTTATTTGGGTGTATTGTATTGCAACACTAATTCCAAGAAAGGTAGTATGCCATATAAAATGTAAATACAAACAGACCCAAAGGTCCAACAACTGGTCTTCTCTGTTCCCAGACTTTTATGGACCATTGTTAAAAGAAGAGGGAATGCTACACCTTGGTAAACATGACCACCCTCCCACTAATACCATTTCTGAGGAGGCTTACACTAAGAGGCTTCTTCAGTTTTTAGTTTTTAGTCTAAGCTAAGCACTAAGCTAAAGTCCCTCCAGTTTTAGCTAACAGACACAACAGTCTTCTCAGTATTTCTTTAACATAGTTTAAGACAATTTTTCAGCAATTGTTTTCCAAAACAAATGGCACTAAAACAAACTGCATTATATGCCAAAACCATACGAGTGTCCATTTTTGCAATCCTTGGTACCACAGTACAAAACAGCAAGCTAAAAGAACAGGGGCTTGGCCTTAACCTCGACTGTGGTCATCTGGGTATGTATGCAGAGTGAGACAAATAGTGAATGTACAGTACATACCTTTAGTTCACAATATTTTTGAGTTTGTATATGTTACTTGTGATAAAGTGTGCCCATAAACAGAGGAAACCAAACCATACATTCCCACTGGGGCGTCAACAGCTGTCACCTTTGTGAACCCTGTCGGTTCAGGTCAGCTCTCTGCCATCAAGAACGTGCAACATTAGGGTCCCAGAAACATCAAAACATGTGACCCTTACATAGGGATGAGAGGTCAATAGTACATTTATATTACACAGGTACCCAAACACACATGTGTTTTTGAAATGGGAGTAGAAGCCTATAGAAAAGTAAATAAGACTTCCTGCTTAGCATGTTAGGCTTGTTACAGGATAAACAACCCACACAGGAGAGAAAACACACACACATGACATGTAGAGCTCCCACTCTACACATCTAGCTGACGAGATAGCAGCTGGAAGTCTACAACAGTTTGTCAGACAGACAACAAGTCTTCACGTATGCTAACTAACATCACCATCTTCTCTTTCCTCCTTACCCCCAGCTGCTGTGCTCCTCGGTGCAGGCTGCACTGTTTGAGGAGGAGGAACGAGGCCGGAAGTTGCAGGAGCGGTTGGCTGCAGCGGAAAGGAGGAACCGGCAGCTGAAGGAGCGAGTTCGCAAGGTGAAGCGTTCCTTGAGGAACGCCCGCAAAGCTGCACGCAAGGCTGAGCAGCAGGCACAGGAGCTGCAACAGAGGCTAAAAGCCTCAGAGAGAATGGCGGGACATCACCTCAACACTATAACACAGAAGGAGCCTCCACTCGGGGGTTACACAAGTGCAGCGATACGTCACAGGATGCAACTTTAAATCGTGTAAGTGCCACTCACCTGGACTGCAGAGTGGTTGTAGATCTGGAGAGACTGCTGGGCGGTCTCTCTGCAAGGGACGGAGAAGTGTCACTTATGAGTAAAAACACTTTAAAAGCAATACTCTTTACAGTTGTCTTGTAAATAAACTGCTATCCCTTTTCTTTCTACCTTGAACTCCTCTAATAAACTGTGGATAAGCGTGATTCCCACTTATCTGATAAAAATAAACAGTTTTCTGAATGAGAATCAAACATTTTTCTTTTCCCACTGATTCCTTCTTTGGTTGTTCAGCTCTGCTGCCTTCATGAGTGGATTCAGTGGCAGAGCTGTGCTCATCTCAAGATGTTGTCTGGCTCTGCTCTGACACTAAGAGCAGCTGTGAGCAATAGTAACAGCCACAGTGGGAGCTTATTGGGATGTGAAGGACAATTAGTTCTCTTTGCCTTTCAGCTGTTAATTAAAACAGTTATGATTTTCACAAGGCACCACTTTTACCTCAGTGGAAAAAAAACCTGCACTGGGTCACCAGTGAACTATTTAGGGATAGAGTTTAGTTGCTTTTAAGTTTCATGCCAGAATACCAGAAAGGCAAAGTTTCACAAGCTATAGGAGGTGTGAGCTTTACAATAAAGTCTATAACAAGGATTTTGGCCTCACAGTTTCTCTGTTATAAGATCTGCATTTGCAAATGCCAAATACTGAATAGTACATATACAAGGATGCATGTAAATTAATAGTCAAATACAGGTTCTTTACCATTTGATCAATCAATCACTCAATTAATGAAAGCCCTGCATTACACTGACATCCTGTCCAGGCTCTCGCACTATGGTCGCTGAGATAGGCTTCAGCTGATTCATGGAGGGCAATAATATATTCTCTAAACGTGGTAACAGTTACTTACATATTTTCTGATCATAATGAAAACATTAGGATCATTTTGAAGTCAGGTAAACTTTTGAAATTGTGAGAGCAATTTTAAAAACAAAGCAAAAAGTAAAGAACTACATATTTGGATACCAATTGGGTTTTAGGTCAGTCCTCATAAGATGACAGCTGATGGTTTCGAGAAGCACTTTGGCAAATAGATTTGTTCTTCACAGTGACCTGCATGCATTCAAAGCATGCTCAAAGTTCATTGATCAATGCTACAAGGACTACAAATAGACTACAGAGAGAAAGCTGACATTAAAAAACAACTTACAGTCCCAAAACTTTGTGTGCATGCTGTTTTCACCTGCATAGGTATGCATACAGCACATTTTCAAAGCTGCGGCTTGAAAACAGCTCCTTGTTGCTTCTACACGCAGCTGCCAGTGATGCTGATGACGCCTGGAACAATGAACTAACCGACAGCTTCAGTTGTCAGTGTATCAGTTTTTATAAAAATATATGATCACGGCTGAGTGACGCAATAAGGTACAGCTCGTCCAATATCAGTAATGCGATGATGAAACAATTCTTGGATTTCTGAGAAGGCTCATTTATTTTTAATGCAAGTTAAAGTCTGTATACACAGCTAGCTTGTGAATATTTTTGTATAAATGCTTTTTTCTGTATATAAAATTTTAGTTTGATGAACCTCAGAGTGGAAGTTTGAAGGAGAGAAAAAAAATCTAGGTCACTAGAGTACAAACAACAAATCCCAGCATGAGCAAGCACACACAAACGGTGTTCCAGTTAAGCTCTGCAGCGACACACAGAGAGTGTAAAGAGAGGTTAAGGGTAGAGGAGACACTGTATGTGTGTGCGCGTGTCTGGTCCATCAAGTGACTGGAATGTGTTTGTGTGGGCAGCAGTGTTCTGAGCAGCAGGATCTTGCTGAAATATTCCTCTGGAGGGAGGCCATCGCATCACGAGACCTCACTAAGTGGAAGGAAAACAAATCACTAAAGCAGGACATATTGAGGGGCAAGCTGGAATGGGATGCAGACCAAAAACCAAAAACTGATTCACTGTGTCTGTCTTGATGAAAAGCTTCGTGATGATCAGGTGAAGAATAAGGCAGGAGTTTATCACCTGCAGAGTAACGATTGATGAGATCCTGAAAAAAAAAAAAAAAAACAAGCATAGAAAAATATATATATATATTTTTGTACATCCTGCCGAGAGACTCTTAGGTAGATGAAGT